ACTCCCTCTTGAGATGGTTCGTCGAATTGGATGACGCCATAAGGGCGCGTCGCATCGACGACGGGGACATGCAAGCTGCATTTGCCCAGTCAAATATGGCAGGACGTGCCAAGACTTGGGCACTGGGGCTCAAGCTGCACGACCCATACGCGTTTGGGTCGTTGGAAGTCTTCAAGTCGCGGCTCAGACAAACGTTTGAACCGCCTAGAGCTGAGTTCAGAGCTCGAACCGAACTCTTGAAGCTCAAGCAGGGTAAGCGTGATGTGCACGCTTACGCTCAACATATACGACATCTCACGAGTTGTATAAGTTCCAATCCGGTGGATGAACACACGTTGGTTTCGGTGTTCATGCAGGGTCTTGCGGATGGTCCCGTCAACACTCACCTGTTCCGGCTTGAACTAGATTCACTAGAACAAGCCATTTCAATTGCGGAGCAGGAAGACTTCAGTCTGAGACAGGCTCGCGCCAGCTCGACATCATATCGTCAACCGAGACGATATGACAACGGAGGTCCAGAGCCGATGGAACTCTGTTATGTAGAGAGCGAGAAGGCTCGCTCTACAGGCTACAAGAAGTTGCAGAGATGCAACAGATGTCAAAAGACAGGACACTACGCTTACGAGTGTAGTGCCCCTCGTCCAGTGTCTCGCGACACTGGGCGTAGTGACCGTCCACCCATGAGAAAGGGGCAGGGACGAGGGTCCGCAGTTGGTGCAAAGACGCAACAACGGGATGGACCGTCAAAAAACGGACAGGATCAGTAGGTGCGGAGCACCCTACTGATCCAGCAACGTCAAGAGAATTTGTAGGCCTCTTGATGAAGGTTGCTCCCAACACACAAACGTTGTGCGTTGCTGCTCTAGGTAATGAGGTTTCACTCATTACCTTGAAACTCGAAGTGACGAATAAGTTGTCCCTTCGAGCTCTAGTCGATTGTGGGGCGTCCAACAATTTTGTGCGACGCCAATCGCTAGAAGATGGTCACTTTAAATTCAGTGAATGTGACACACCTCCTACGAGGATGACGGTACGTCTTGCGACAGGCGCATCCGTAATCAAATCATGAAGCGTATAGTGAAGATTCACTATACGCTAGAAGATACCCAATACGACGATGACTTTATCGTATTGGATTTGGATGACAAATTTGATGTCATCCTTGGAATACCGTGGCTCAGAAGGTACGAACCACGGGTAAACTGGCAACATCGGACAGTAACGATGCCTGCCGCTTGTTCATCAGATGGCCATCTGATGAACGTTTTGGAGAGTCCACAAGCGTGTGGATGTACTACGAGTGAGTGCAATGGCCTCACTTGTGGTACGGTCGTTAGTACGACTGCACAAAACCTTAGTGTACCAAACGGTTACACTTCGGAGCAAAGTTCCGGCGGCTGTGAGGAAACACAGGCTGCGCCGAAGGTCCACCACTCGAATAAGTCGGGTGGACTGGGACAAAGATGTATCCCTAGAGGGGAACATCTAGAAGAGAAACAATCGATCGCTCAGGTTAAGCGAAACGATAATCCTAGATCGACTGGAGAGTCTTTCGTAGAGGATCTCGCTGTGGTTGCGCAACCCCAGCTAGAGGAAGTAAAGGGAATAAGTCCCAAGATTACAAATACGGCGGAAATAAGTTCCCCGAAACCCGCGGGAATAAGTCCCCGGGAAGCCGAAGGAATAAGTCCTTCGAAGCCTGAGGGAATAAGTCCCCAGGAACTGACAGAGACATTGAATGTCATAGTCAATAACGGATCATGTGTAGGCGCTTATACACTTGATCTGATTGCGCCTCCGAAGTTAACTTCGGAGATCACTCAGTTGCCAACGCTCGAACATAAAAGATTCTTGCGTGATCTGCGTAGTGGCAAAGTCAAGCAGATCTGCATACTCGTCGCTGAAGACGAGTATGTAACCGACATAAGGTCAGCAACAGTGTTTACTGAGAACGAGAGAGTTCTCAGTAGTTCATCTATGGACGAGAGTGTCCTAGATGAAAAGACACGAATTGAGCGATATGAGTCCCAATCATGGGAATCGCTCAAGGAAAATCCTCTCTATGAAGATTTGGTTGAATTCAAGGATGTATTCCCTGAAACTGTTCCGTGCGAATTACCGAAGGATAAAGGTATTCGACACGAAGTCGAGCTTAAACCAGGCTCGAAGTAATGTGTCATGAAGCAGTGGCCACTGCCTCGTGAACAAGTACTTGCGATCGACAAGTTCTTTGCCGATCGTTTAGCAGCGGGCCATGTGAGGGAATCAACTTCCCCACATAGCTCTCCGACCTTCTGTGTGCGAAAAGCAACAGGAGGGTGGCGGATAGTGCACGCGTTTAACAAATTGAACGCTGCAACGGTACCGGCTCAGACGCCGATACCGAGGAAGGACGTAATCATTGATGGTATGTCAAAGAGTACCATCTTTTCGTCCATGGATTTGATGGATGGCTTCTATCAAATGCTTATGCGGGAACGGGATATACCCTAAAGCGCAGTTAGCACGCCTAGCGGCATGCTCTGGGAATGGCTAGTAATGCCACAAGGGCTCAGTAATGCCCCTGCCACGTTCAACAGGTGTGTATCACATCTGTTGAGGCCAGTACGAGAATTCGCGCCGAGTTATTTCGATGACGTATTCATCCATAGTCGAGCTATGGATGGAAAGTCGGACGTTGAGGTTCACAGGTACCACGTCCGACAAGTTCTTACAATCATGCGAAAGCATCAATTGTATGCAAACCTCAAGAAGTGTATATTTGCAGCAAGCGAAATACCACTTTTGGGTGCATCGTTGGTAAGAACGGTGTACGTCCTGATCCCGAAAAGATCAAGGCGATCACCGACTGGCCTGTGCCGGTCGATGTCAAAGGTCTTCGAAAATTCCTTGGGCTAGCGGCGTATTTGCATAAGTATTCACGCAATTACGCCGAGATGACTGTACACCTCTCTCGTTTGTTGAAAAAGAACGAGAGGTGGTTATGGAACGCTGAATGTCAACGCTCCTTTGAGGGTATCAAGCAGAGCTTGATACAATCCCCAGTCCTAGCAATAGCCGATCAGGACAGGCCATTTAATGTGGTCTGTGATGCCAGCGATTTCGCAATCGGCTGTGCATTAATGCAGTACGACCTTGAAGGCGTTGAACGCGTCGTCTGCTATCAGTCGCGTCAGCTGCAACCAGCTGAGCGTAACTATCCAGTGCATGACAAGGAACTCCTTGCCATGAAGTATGCACTCGCGAAGTTCAGAGTCTATCTATTAGGAGATAGACCCTTCATTGTTTACACTGACCATGCGTCGTTACGCAAGGCAGTGAACAGCCCGCACCTTTCACAACGAATGGCGCGGTGGTTGTCATTCTTTGCGGAATACAACTTTACGGTCGAGTACAAACCAGGACGACTTAATGTCGTCGCTGATGCACTCTCACGTCGTCCCGACTTTGAAACAGTCGCGAAACCCAACAGTGAGACAGTCACTGTTGCGGTTATGACGTCCTCAGTTCCATCTACAACGTTGTATGATGATGTGAGGCGGGCATACGCCCAAGATGGTGAGATAGTGAAGTTGTTGTCACATCTCTCCCAACCATCTCGAGAATCGTTGAAACGATTGTCGTCTGCGTATCGATCTGCATCAGATCGATACACTACTCGTAACGGTTTACTGTACTATACAGCCGTTTCTGGTGACACACCACGTGTTGTCATTCCAGATGATACTGATCTGCGTTTGCGGATCATGTTCGAGTATCACGATGCTCCTATAGGAGGACATCGTGGCCGAGAGAAAACATATCTCACGGTAAGTCGAGACTTTTACTGGCCCCGCCAGTATCAGTTTGTGCGAAAGTATGTTCGCGCATGCAAAGTCTGCCAACGAGTGAAGTCAAGTCCTTCACTGCGTGCACCTTTACAGCCTCTACCGGTTCCGGCTGAGTGCTGGGAATCCATCTCAATGGATTTCGTCTTCGGGTTACCCAAAGACGCACGCGGGAATACGGTTATTCTCGTATTTGTTGACAGATTCAGCAAAATGGTACACCTTGTGGCTGTACCAGAGACAATCACGGCAAGTGGCTGTGCTTGTGTCTTTATTGACACCATCTTCCGACTTCATGGGTTGCCCCGTGAACTCGTATCAGACAGAGATCCACGATTCACAGCTGATTTCTGGCGTTCCGTGTTCAAATCACTCGGAACGCGCTTGAAGATGTCAACATCTGATCATCCAGAGTCAGATGGTCAGACGGAACGTGCCAATCGTGTCCTTGAAGAGATACTTCGAGGATACGTCCACTCCTTTAAGAGTTGGAGTGAGTTTTTGCCGATGGTAGAGTTTGCCATCAACAACTCGGTGCATGCGTCCACGACACATACACCGTTTTACGTGAATGGCTTGCGCCATCCGCGTGTACCCACCTTACTAGAGTGTTACTCTGGTTTAAGGGGGGAGGGACTCGCGCGAGCAAAAACCGATTTGGTTCACGCTCATCACGCTCTGACGAAGAAGTCATTGCGTTTGATGCCGATATCGATAACATCGATATCGAAGAAGATGATGCCAGTGAGAGTGCGGAAGCCCTCACTGAAGACAATGATCCCAGTGAGAGTGCGGAAGCCCTCACTGAAGAAAAGGTTGTTGTCGCTGCAGTGCGCTCACAGCACACTGAAGCTAACGAGTCATCAGATGAGTTCATACTGGCTCGTGAAACGGTAGTCCGTTTTGTGCAAGACTCCATCGCCGAAGCGGTGGATAAGCAAAAGCAAAACGCTGATAAGAATGGAAGGGCAAACACTCTTTTATTTAATAAAGGTGACTTAGTCCTACTGTCTACGGTTAATCTACCAAAACATGTAGTGACTAACTTGGGTAGCAGCAAACTACTACCCAAGTACATTGGCCCATTTCGTGTATTGCACCGCCTAGGCAATGCATACACGATCGAGTTACCACGTAAGATGCGAACGCATCCCACGTTTTACGTTGGTCGGCTTAAGCCGTACCATCAGTACGCTGCTTCTTCCGATGAAGAACGCCCTTGCGCTCAAGCATCTCGCAGAGAGCCTTGTGCTCCCGATGATGGGCATCAACAAGGGTCTGAAGAGCAGTTATCTCAGCCCGAGACCGATCAACAATCCCACGAGCTACCCTTAGCTCGTCACGAAGAGATGTCAGAGATCTCTCGTTCTCAAGCTGAGCAAAGGCAAACTCAGCTCGATGCTTCGAGGCAGTGTCCACCATCTGGAGACGCCTATTCCGCTCATGCTCGAGATCGTCGCGTAACCCTTGCGTTACGCGATCAAAGAAGCTCTCGGGAACACACCGATCCACATGATCGTGTGGAGAGCGTCTTTCCTCCTCCTCCACCTCCATTAGAGGACTCTCGCGGTGGCCAGCGCTATCTAGTAGAGCAGCTGTTGAACCACCGCGACGTGAACGGACGTCGGACGAGTTATCTCGTCCGGTGGCGCGGCTATCCCCCGTCCTGGGATTCTTGGGAGCCCCGCTCCCAATTGATGGTTGACGTACTGGGTCTGGTCAAACAGTACGACGCGACACATCCTGTGCCGCAGAAGGACCGCCGGAGAAAGTCTTCCCGGCACGGTCGTAAAGGGATTTCAGGTTGTCAATCCCTTCGTACATCTCAGTAGAGACACGTACGCGCCACCACGGGCTGGTAAGGAGGTAAGCCTCCTTAGGTGCTCGTGCAGAGTTGTTCACACAACATGGGCACGAGTCTCCCCAAGAGAGGCAGGGTAATCCTTTCTCCCTTGACAGACGATGCAGCTTATAGCGTGCACCTGTCGGGGTTCGCTTTTCAAACTTATCACGAGCTTTGATAAGTTTGTCGTTCCAAGCGTCACGACCTACATCCTCGAGATTATGGATGTAGGCGTTCCACGCCTGAAGTAGTGAGGGACCATCACGTTTGTGATTCCCACTGTACCATCGATGTCTGAAGAAAGCATCGATGAAGAACTCATGTTCAGCGCGATAGTCTTTCGCGCTGGGGTCAAGGTGATGAATCCTCGACGAATCGAACAATCGTGTTCGATAACGATCACTCGTCGTCGCCGACAAGTGATCCATGACAGATTTAGGAGGCATCCATGCCTTCTTTTTCTGGAGCGAGACGCAACACATTGCGGTCCCGCTCTTCCTGCGACGTGCCGACAGAAGTACTGGCACCTCGCTGTGAAGTGGTGTCCATTGGAGAAACGACACCACTATTAGCGCCCGAGTCTCGCGACCTCGAGCGCCTTCGCTTCGGCGATGGTTCATCTGACTCATCAGATGAACCAAAGATGCTGCGACGCAAAGCATCGTCCATGCCACGCTTGGCAGGCGGCTTGGATTCAATTGCCGTCGATACGGATCCGTCATCCGTATCAGGAGAGTACGAGACACCGAGCTCGTACTCTGTGAAGACACGAGTGTCTTCATGACCAGCGCCTGCATCACCAGGTGATACAGGCTGAGTCGATTCAGCAACCGATGGGACATCAGTTGCTGTAGTTTCTGCTTCGGCGTCCGCACAGAGACGTGCAGACGCGCTCTCGGCGGCCTTGCTCGCGCATCGCATGGGCTTGTTTACCATGCGATGAGATGTTGGAAAGTGGACGCGGACCAACAAGTGCAAACCCCGTCCCAAATGATTTGGGACGAGTATCCATTTAGTCAATCAGTCACTAAAGTGACTGATGGTTAAGGGGGGGGTGATGTAACGGGGTGAATCGTTACATAACAGTTTATAAGAAATTGTTAATAGAATTTAACTATAAGAGTTATATTCTCAGAATATTGTCATAAGGACAATATTCTGTAGCACTTCCAAGTAGTTCCTAATTGGTTGATATAGGCCATTATATCAACCAACGAAGACGCGCCACGACAGACGCACGCAATGAGTGGTGAGCAGAAACTGATTTACACATTTGTATTTAGACATAGTTAGATGAAGATAAATAGTGATTTATTGCAGACATTAACTATTATAAATACAGTTCTACTTTTTACTCTAACCAAGTACTCGCTTCTTCTTACCGTCTTCCTCTGCACGTACGAGTGTACGTGAAGTTACGAGGCACCGTCTTATTCTGTTATCAGAATAAGTAGCTTGTACTGTCACCAGTACAAGCTTCAGGGTGCCCCGTTACAAAGAAGCTCGTCAGGATTAATAGGTATCTTCTTGTATAGCACCGCGAAGAGCTCCCGGATTGTCAGAAGCCAGTAGTCAAATTGACCCGTACCAGAGTGGCCCTTCATTTCCGTTACCAACGCATGAAACATAGATGCAGGGGGAGGTCCTTTTGTAGCGGAAGGCGAGGGTTCGACGATCGTCTCACCACTCCCGGATGCCGCTGATCTCAGTCTTTGACGAGCCGTCTCGGCGACATCAAATCGCGAGCTCTTGTCAAGAGACCTAAATCCTGCCTCTCCCTGATCCTGCCCGGGTTCAGGTACAGATGACATCCCTTCATCGAGCAAAGAGGTCTCAATTCGAACGGGTTGACCCTCTCCGGCTGCACAAGCCGTAGTGTTGACCTCTATTCGCGTCAACCGCCTCACCTAAAGATGGCGTAGCGACATGAGCTTCGTGAACGACTGGTCGACGGCTGGGTGAGTATGTGGAGTACGAGGCTCGGAGGACGTCCATCCTCCCCCCCTTCGAAGGAGAGCCGTGACGGCGACGTGGTGTCCACCGTACCGCTGGGTGCCAAACTGTCACCAGCTAAAACTCGTTATCTTCTGGTTATTGAAAAACCATCGGATTCGTCGAACTTTAGAGACTGGATGCTATTGATTGTGAACGACGTCACCAGTGATTTGCGTCTCATTAATCAACGACGGAAAAGACTGCTAAAATTGCAGGAATAATTTACTCAATACGCACGCGATGCAGGAATAGGGGAGCACGCTCTGAAGCTCACGCTCTGTTAGCGAGCCCGAAGAGTAAAACTTTTTGTGACTGTACACAAGGTGAACGCCGATCTCTTTAATCCTACGTTATGTGTGAGAGGATGTGTCTATCTAAAATTAATGCTTGGTGCACCCTTAACGTAGTACTATGTGAGATATTACCTACTCCCTCATCATTATCACGAATTATAGCTGGCACTCTATGACCGAGTCGTAGTTTGCGACTGTCAGAAGTGTGAAGTGTAGTCCCTCACGCGCACCACTGCCCGCACGTGAATCATTTAGAAGTAATTTAAAGCGAAACAAGGCAAATAATCAAATGTTCATCCTTTGACGGTAAATATTTTGCACCTCCGGCAAATAGGACATTGGGAGTGACTATGGTCACGTTTACTACCGGTAGAAGAAGAAGATCCCTCGTTTCTCTATTTTTCAAAGAATTGGTTTAGTCGTCGGCCGCACTTTGTTGTTTGCCGAGCAAGCGGGCAGGGCTATTCCCGTCTCTCGCTTTTTTCTCTTCAAAACATACGCTTTTAGTGTCTCTTTGAAACATTAGTTAACAACAACGAGTTGCTTTAACCGTAAAAAATTCGTCATTGTCATATAGTATTGCACACGACACACATCCGATTCCTAGACGTTAATTTTCTCGAAACTAACCGTAAATATACCGAGCTGGATTTTTTTATGAAAAGAGTTAACCTTTAAAAGAGCGAGTTCCAAAGTTTGATCGCCTATGTTACTTTAGTCTAAGAACTGATATAAGCTATGTATATCCACTTACCTATTCCGGGTGGTAGGCGACTAGGGAATGGTTTGTGCGTTGTGTAAACAGAGTCGTAAGGCCGACATATTGTAGTGTCACATGTACACGTTGACGTTATAACAAGAAAAATATGATAGAAGTGGGACGCTTTGATCCTGCTCGGTCGCGCGGCAAGCAACAATTGCAACCAGCGACATCAGATTATAAATAGAAAGGAGTATAAATATCGTTGAAGGACCCTTTTCTGCCGCCGGAAGAGGAAGGTGAGTATATAGATTTTTTTTTCAGTACTGATACCTCCAGCTTGCCAATATTCCAGATCTAGCCTGTAGCGGAGCTACCACAGCTATAAAGTCAGAGGAAGACTTTACAGATCAGGCCAGAGGCTTACGGCTTATAGCCAATAAGTTCTAAGAAACTAAGACATCAAGTTTAGAATTCGGTTAGTTCTATGAAACTAGCGCGGACTCTCTGAGCTATTAGTTCAAACTACTTTAGTTTAAGGAACTACACGCACAATGTGCAAAGGGGCATACTGGAGTCTAAGGAATCACTAACGCACGGCAGTATTACGGAACTGTCGAGCGCAACGGGTGGGAGCTACGGACTTCTGCTCAAAGTAAGAACTGAGTTTATTTAGATTTTACATCAAGGAAAGTGCTAGTTTAAGTACCCTATGTTACACTAAACTTAATTTATATACAAATATCAGTATTCGATCTAAATGGATAGTTGGCACATTACTCAGTCGTTAAATAATGACGGTACAAAGTACTTCCACGGTAATAACCGTAACTCAGAGAATACCGGCTAATTAGTATTCTCTATTGATGTAAGATCTAAGACCACACTTGTCTCCTATATTACGTATGGGAGGTCTTCAACCTATTTACCAGTGGCTAGTGTGACCCCGTTAGATAGTACCTTTCCTTACTGTAGGACTAGTACCTCGCAATATTGTGTGTCGCTATACTAGATCACACCACATAATAAAGTGACTGACAACCTATTGGAATCACAATTCTCTTAAACAGATGGCATTCGCATCTCATGCACACATGCATTGGTCTACGAAGTGCTAAAATTAACAATGGTTTGCTATAATTGATCAACTTATACATATCAAGTTTAACTTACTGTTTAAATAGATTGGTGAACAACCACAAGCTCATCGATGAGGACGACTATCAACTACTATGGACTCTAAATGGTTCGTACAAATATCGCATATTTAGATACGCGCTTTGGCTTTAATCGAGAAATTGGCGATAGCTGACCAATTTAGGAACACGATGTAATATACCTGGTTGCACGCATCACACATGGCAAAAGGCAACAAGTCGTGAGTAGATTGCGGGTATTACAGTTCAACCGCACCTTAGGTATGTCCTGAATTTTTTTAATAGTATGCAAGTGTACTGATACTAATAAGCGGAAGGTGATTTAATTTTCGATTTTGAAAATCTCTTGTAACGGGGTACCCTTTGTTTGGGGTGCCACGAAACTTCACGTACACAAGGACGTGCAGAGGAATCTTATCTAATTAAACGACTAAGCTGAGTAAAGAGTAAAAAGAGAACTGTATTTAATATAGTTAAGCTATCAATGTAATGGTAATCTTTATGTAACTACATTAAACTACGTCTTCGTAAGACGACAACCTGCTTACCACTCATTGCGCGCGTCT